TTTAGGGCCGAGCCACAAGAATCGTAAGATGAGATTTGTAGTGAAAAAAGATAAGAGAAACACCTCTGACAATAGATGCACCTATTGCAAAATTGAATATCAACATTAGATCAATCACTTGCTGCAATACTTACGGCCTTATCTGATCTCTCTGTTTTCTGTGTCTGTGTTGATGGCTCTTCTAATATAGCCAGTAGCATGATAGCTACAGCTAGTATCAGTGCAAGCCAGTAATAGAAAGGATTGTGGAGTATCCTGTACGCTATCCATGCTCTCTTTTGCTCCGGCATAGAATCGAATCTCTCGTTGTCTCTCCCTTCCTTAACTAACAGAGCAGCTTTCTGCAGTAAACAAAAGTAACGTGACTCCAGTCGTCAAAGGAAAACTATAAAATAGTCTGCTGTCAATCAGATCGTTTGGGAGGGTGAACCCAAATCTATCTGATGACACGAGGCTAAAGCAAAACAACCTTGTATTCTTTAGTTGATCCTTCCATTGAGCTGTAGCCAGAAGCAAGGTCTCCTTCACCGTTATCCTCGTCTCTTTGATGATTACGAATAGACAGCTCTATGATGCCACCATCATCAGAATCCATAGTGACCAGCTAGAACTGGATCTATACAAATTTCTCTTTAGTTTCACAAAGAGATAAGCAGTCTATGGGTGGGGCTCAAGCATTCAATTCAATTCCAATAACATCTTGTTTGGCACAATGAATATAATTCCAAAAATAACTATGAATATTTGCACACATCATGTGTATTTATACACACATATACTGCCATATACACACAATAAATGTAGTAGTATTCTTCATCCTAGTAAATAAAAGAAAAGTTGCTTCATTTTCTCAGCTAGCATGAGAATCATTCTCTTTGCGTGTTCACGTGGAGTCTCCTTGTTAATTGCTATGCTGTCTCCTTTTTGTTTTGACACTAGCATTGCACACTCTTCATCAAATTTCTCCTTCCAGTCCTGCATGAAGCATTAAAGAAATTGATATAACATAATAATGCAGGAGTTTCCTTACTTCTATTTCTCCTTTGTAGATGATAGTTCGAAGGTCATCATCTGTCATCATTCTCTTTCCTCTAAACTCACCTCCATACAACTGGAAAATAATCATATATAATTATTATTATAAGTATTGTTAGTTTTACCTCTATTGTTCTGGCAGGAATATCATAATGTTTTCTGATCCATCTGTTAATTGAAAAGCCTTTCCCACGTTCATGTTCAACTTTTAAATGGATCACATTCGATAAGATTCTAACCTCAGAGCTTTTCAGTAATATTTTAGTTACTCTTTTCAATTCTAGATTTAAGTTGCTAGAGTAAATGAACCATTTATCATTATTATATACCTCCTGATGGTGTTTCTTCATTCATTTTACTAGCCTTCAATGCTAATATACCAGACTCAAAAGCATCAACAATGTAGACTATGGCAATATTGACCACAAGCTGTATTTAGATGATTATTGGAAGTTATTGTAATGAATTCTTACTGTTGTCACCATCCAGAATAAAATGAAATACAATCTTGCTGCTTTACCAGTAGTCGATACAAATCCTTCCTATAAATCCAATGCTTTAATGTATATCAGTTGTACTGTACCATTTGAATGAACCAATTATTAACAACCATCTCTTCATACAGTGTTACTACATAATGGAATGTACAATGAATATAATGTTGATTATTGCACATAAACTTACCAAAGCTACGACCAAGGGTGTTAAAATTATTCAAATAGTACAAGCCAGGATTATCTAATGTTGAATTGTCATAATAAAC